AACAACAACGAAAAGAAGGTAAGGTGCCATAACGAGGTCAGAATGATGATTCATGGGGATTATTTACAGAATTACTGATATCTCTGGGGGGGGGGGGGTATTACAGTATTACTGATATCTTTGGGGGGGGGGTATTACAGTATTACTGATATCTTTGGGGAGGGTGTATTACAGTATTACTGATATCTCTGGGGGGGGGGGTTATTACAGTATTACTGATATCTTTGGGGGGGGGGTATTACAGTATTACTGATATCTCTGGGGGGGGGTTATTACAGTATTACTGATATCTTTGGGGGGGGGTTATTACAGTATTACTGATATCTTTGGGGGGGGGGGGTATTACAGTATTACTGATATCTTTGGGGGGGGGGGGTATTACAGTATTACTGATATCTCTGGGGGGGGGGGGGGGGGTTATTACAGTATTACAGATATCTTTGGGGGGGGTTTATTACAGTATTACAGATATCTTTGGGGGGGGGGGGGGTTATTACAGTATTACTGATATCTTTTGGGGGGGGGGTTATTACAGTATTACTGATATCTTTGGGGGGGGGTTATTACAGTATTACTGATATCTTTGGGGGGGGTTATTACAGTATTACTGATATCTTTGGGGGGGGGGGTTATTACAGTATTACTGATATCTTTGGGGGGGGTGGGGTTATTACAGTATTACTGAAATCTTTGGGGGGTTATTACAGTATTACTGATATCTCTGGGGGGGGGGGGGTATTACAGTATTACTGATATCTCTGGGGGGGGGGTATTACAGTATTACTGATATCTCTGGGGGGGGGGGGGGTTATTACAGTATTACTGATATCTTTGGGGGGGGGGCATTACAGTATTACTGATATCTCTGGGGGGGGGGGGGGGGGGGGGTTATTACAGTATTACTGATATCTTTGGGGGGGGGGGTTATTACAGTATTACTGATATCTCTGGGGGGGGGGGGGGGTTATTACAGTATTACTGATATCTTTGGGGGGGGGGTTATTACAGTATTACTGATATCTTTGGGGGGTTATTACAGTATTACTGATATCTTTGGGGGGGTTATTACAGTGTTAGTGGTATCGTTGGGGGGGGGGGTTATTACAGTATTACTGATATCTTTGGGGGGTGTTATTACCTCGCACCAAGCAATGCAAATAGTTCGGGTAGCTATGATTAGCTGTTCAGGAGTCTTATGGCTTGTGGGTAGAAGCTGTTAAGAAGCCTTTTGGACCTAGACTTGGCGCTCCGGTACCGCTTGCTGTGCGGTAGCAGAGAGAACAATCTATGACTAGGGTGGCTGGAGTCTTTGACAATTTTTAGGGCCTTCCTCTGACACCGCCTGGTATAGAGGTCCTGGATGGCAGGAAGCTTGGCCCCAGTGATGTACTGGGCCGTACGCACTGACCCTCTGTAGTGCCTTGCGGTCGGAGGCCGAGCAGTTGCCATACGAGGCGGTGATGCAACCAGTCAGGATGCTCTCGATGGTGCAGCTGTAGAAGTTTTTGAGGATCTGAGGACTCATGCCAAATCTTTTCAGTCTCCTGAGGGGGAATAGGTGCACCTTGTGCTGGGGACAATAAAAGGCCATTCTAAAATGTGCAGTTTTGTCACACAAGACAATGCCACAGATGTCTCAAGTTTTGAGGGATTGTGCAATTGGCATACTGACTGTTGCCAGAGAATTGAATGTTAATTTCTCTACAATAAGCTGCCTCCAACGTCGTTTTAGAGAATTTGGCAGTACGTTCAACCGGTCTCACAACCACAGACCATTTGTAACCACACCAGCCCAGGACCTCCACATCTGGCTTCTTCACTGGCGGGATCGTCTGAGACCAGACACCCTGAGGAGTATTTCCTTAATTTTTTATAGTTTTTTTCTTCTTTATAATTTTTTTTCTCCCCTTTTTCTCCCCAATTCCGATCTTGTCTCATTGCTGCAACTCCCCAAAGGGCTCGGGAGGCGAAGGTCGAGTCATGCGTCCCCCGAAACATGACCCGCCAAACCACGCTTCTTAACTTCTGCCCGCTTAACCTGGAAGCCAGTTGCACCAATGTGTCGGAGGAAACACCATTTAACTGACGACCGATGTCAGCCTGCATGCGCCCGGCCCGCCACAAGGAGTCGCTAGAGTGCGATGAGCCAAGTAAAGCCCCCCCGGCCAAACCCTCCCCTAACCCGGACAACGCTGGGCCAATTGTGCGCCGCCCTATGGGACTCCTGATCACGGCCGGTTGTGATACAGCCCGGGATCGAACCTGGGTCTGCAGTGACACCTCTAGCACTGCGATGCAGTGCCTTAGACCACTGCGCCACTCGGAAGGCCTGAGGAGTTTTTCTGTCTGTAAAAAAGGCCTTTTGTGGGGAAAAACTCATTCTGATTGGCTGGGCCTGGCTCCCCAGTGTGTGGGCCTGGCTCCCAAGTCGGTGGGCCTATGCCCTCCAAGGCCCACCCATGGCTGCGCCCCTGCCTAGTCATGTGAAACCCATAGATTAGGGCCTAATTAATTTATTTCAAATGACTGATTTCCTTATATGAATTATAACTCAGTAAAGTAGTTGACATTTCTGCATGTTGCATTTAGACATGGTTTTAGTCATTTCAATGTAGATTGGTTTTGAAACTCAAACCACCCGCAGGTTGTATGTTTGACACCTCTGGTATAGAACAATATGTTTGACACCTCTGGTATAGAACAATATGTTTGACACCTCTGGTATAGAACAATATGTTTGACACCTCTGGTATAGAACAATATGTTTGACACCTCTGGTATAGAACAATATGTTTGACACCTCTGGTATAGAACAATATGTTTGACACCTCTGGTATAGAACAATATGTTTGACACATCTGGTATAGAACAATATGCTTGACACCTCTGGTATAGAACAATATGTTGATTATATACAATATATAGAATATTCCTCAATATTATATGTTGACTAAAGCGAAGCCCTGGTGGTGTGTTTGCCAGATCAGTGAGGACTCCAGGCTGTCTGGGGGTGGATCCTCCTCCTCCTCCTCCTCTGTCGCTGCCGCCTCTTCTTCCTCCTCCTCCTCCTCTTCCTCTCTCCTCTGCTCAGCCCCAGCCCCAGCCTGCTCCAGCCAAGGTAATCATGTATGTATCAGGCTGCTGGTTGGGACCTGCTCTACTTTACACGCTCTAGCTCTCTCAACACTTCTCTCTGTCTCAGCAGCTCTGCAGCAGTCAGGGTGAAAGGTAGACTCAGCGAAATGACGTTGCCTCAAGCAGCACTGCAGATATTGCGATGAGCGAGACGCAAGACTTCAGCTGTCAGACAGTCACACACGGTATCTGCGCATGTGCACAGGGTTGCTTCATGTTGTTTCAGCTTGGTAGCAACAGGACCAAAACAGCGGAGAGGTTTAGCCTCGCGCTTCGATGCTCTTAAGCCGGGTGTACACTACACGGTTTAGCTGGTCCCAGACAAGTTTTTGAGATCGGAGACAAAATCCCCATGTCATTGCCTACTCGGGGCGCGCGGCCGTCACCGACGCTCGTTTTAAATGTGAGCGGGTCAGAGACGCAATCTGAGGGCTAGCGATCTGAGGGCTAGCGGTCTCGTCTTTGATCGGTCCCAGACGTCCCACTATTTTCAAACATGTATGATTTTTATCGGCACAAAATCTGCAACGCTCTTGTAGTGTGAGATGTGTGCAACGACAAGTTTTGAGAACGGTGATGAGCAATAGCCAATGAGAGCTTCGCCAGAGAAGAAGCCAGTGAGATGATGATGATGATGACGATGTTTTGCATCACCCAGGATGTGTGGACTCTCGAGAAGGAGCCATGACTTTCTAGTATGCGTTTGTACTTGCCTTTAACCAACGCCAAAGTGTCAAATCGTTACAGCTCTGAAGTTCACAAGCGATGTTATTCAATTCAAAATGTTGGCTAGATATTTCAACTCTGTATGGCAGGCGTGATTGTCTGACTGAAAATGTTTGAGGCTGCTTTGAGCCACAGCTCGTTGTAGCTACGTTAAATCTAATCACATCATCACATCATTGTTTTGGCGAGACAGCGTGGTATGGAGAATCCTCAAGAACAAGTGAATAATCTTGTGGTCTGTGACCCCCCCGTCTGTGACCCCCCGTCTGTGACCCCCGTCTGTTCCACATCGTTTAGTGTGGGCACCACCACGTTGGCAAGACAACACAACAGGAAAGACGGTGGTTTTAATGTGAGAGGTTAGCGATGTTAGGATTTTGAAAGTCATGTAGCGTAAATCCGGCTTTAGTTGTTGCGGAAATTGACCCACTATGCTGTTTACTTTGTGCATCTACATCATATCGCTGAGTCCACCTTTAACATTCATGCCTTGTTGAGCGTTGAACTAAAAGGTTTACTGTGGTTGGCTGCTATACAGATATGCATCACTAATCCCCCTGAGACGCACAGCTCCTAATAATACTACTAATAATACATCACTAATCCCCCTGAGACGCACAGCTCCTACTAATACTACTAATAATACATCACTAATCCCCCTGAGACGCACAGCTCCTACTAATACTACTAATAATACATCACTAATCCCCCTGAGACGCACAGCTCCTACTAATACTACTAATAATACATCACTAATCCCCCTGAGATGCACAGCTCCTACTAAATACTACTAATAATACATCACTAATCCCCCTGAGAACGCACAGCTACCTACTAATACTATAATAATACATCATAATCCCCCTGAGACGCACAGCTCCTACTAATACTACTAATAATACATCACTAATCCCCCTGAGACGCACAGCTCCTACTAATACTACTAATAATACATCACTAATCCCCCCTGAGACGCACAGCTCCTACTAATACCTACTAATAATACATCACTAATCCCCCTGAGACGCACAGCTCCTACTAATACTACTAATAATACATCACTAATCCCCCTGAGACGCACAGCTCCTACTAATACTACTAATAATACATCACTAATCCCCCTGAGATGCACAGCTCCTACTAATACTACTAATAATACATCACTAATCCCCCTGAGACGCACAGCTCCTACTAATACTACTAATAATACATCACTAATCCCCCTGAGACGCACAGCTCCTACTAATACTACTAATAATACATCACTAATCCCCTGAGATGCCACAGCTCCTACTAATACTACTAATAATACATCACTAATCCCCCTGAGACGCACAGCTCCTACTAATACTACTAATAATACATCACTAATCCCCCTGAGACGCAACAGCTCCTACTAATACTACTAATAATACATCACTAATCCCCCTGAGACGCACAGCTCCTACTAATACTACTAATAATACATCACTAATCCCCCTGAGACGCACAGCTCCTACTAATACTACTAATAATACATCACTAATCCCCCTGAGACGCACAGCTCCTACTAATACTACTAATAATACATCACTAATCCCCCTGAGACGCACAGCTCCTACTAATACTACTAATAATACATCACTAATCCCCTGAGACGCACAGCTCCTACTAATACTACTAATAATACATCACTAATCCCCCTGAGACGCACAGCTCCTACTAATACTACTAATAATACATCACTAATCCCCCTGAGACGCACAGCTCCTACTAATACTACTAATAATACATCACTAATCCCCCTGAGACGCACAGCTCCTACTAATACTACTAATAATGCATCACTAATCCCCCTGAGACGCCACAGCTCCTACTAATACTACTAATAATGCATCACTAATCCCCCTGAGACGCACAGCTCCTACTAATACTACTAATAATTAATCACTAATACCCTGAGACGCACAGCTCCTACAATACTACTAATAATGCATCACTAATCCCCCTGAGACGCACAGCTCCTACTAATACTACTAATAATGCATCACTAATCCCCCTGAGACGCACAGCTCCTACTAATACTACTAATAATACATCACTAATCCCCCTGAGACGCACAGCTCTAATAATACTACTAATAATACATCACTAATCCCACTGAGACGCAAGCTCCTACTAATACTACTAATAATACATCACTAATCCCCCTGAGACGCACAGCTCCTACTAATACTACTAATAATACATCACTAATCCCCCTGAGACGCACAGCTCCTACTAATACTACTAATAATACATCACTAATCCCCCTGAGACGCACAGCTCCTACTAATACTACTAATAATACATCACTAATTCCCCCTGAGACGCACGAGAACCCACAGCTCCTACTAATACTACTATAATACATCACTATTCCCCCTGAGACGCACAGCTCCTACTAATACTACTAATAATACATCACTAATCCCCCTGAGACGCACAGCTCCTACTAATACTACTAATAATACATCTCTAATCCACAGTACTGTTGTAACTCTCACCACTGTGATATACAGTGTGCTTTAACAGTGACATATCGTCAGACTGAACACACTTTGAAGCATAGCAGTATACATTTCAGATCACTATTTTTATTTTTTTTTGTTCCAGAAGTGATATGTGAAGAAGCCGCCTTTGTTACCCCTACGATATTGACTCCTGTGGATTTTATTGCACTTGATACCCAGCGATGCTATGATGATGTGAACGCTCTGCCTTGTGAGAAACAACTACAGGTGAGTCTTTCATCTGATCACACAAAGAAACATCATTTTTATTATGACATTTCCACTATTTATTTTGTAATATGGAATCGGGCTGCAAGAAAAAAAAAAATGTCTGTGTGAACGTACCGTTTAAAAAATATATTATAGTGATTCTTAAAACAAATAAAATAGCATTCATTACATACTGTGTGTAAAATTTTCCAAAAAAACGACCTGAACTCAGGGTTAGACGTAACATACTAAACGAAAATCCGGAATACTGAAATTCGTATGATATGTTACGTTTGGTACGGTATGTATACATTTGTGGATGTCCATTATCCATTTCGTATGATTTAACAAATGATAATTCGTATGATATGTTACGAATTGCAATTTGTGCAATATGTTACAATTTGCAATACCTATGATATTTTACGAATTCAAATTTGTTAGCTAGGTGGCCAATGTTAGCTAGCTGGCTAATGTTAGCAAGGCTAGGGATTAAGGTTAAAGGGTAAAGGTTAACATTATGGGAAGGGTTAGCTAACATTTTACATTTTTAGTCATTTAGCAGACGCTCTTATCCAGAGCGACTTACAGTTAGTGAGTGCATACATTGCTCGTGGAGAGGGTGCTATTCACCACGGAGTGGGACAGTTCCCAGAGCAAAACTGCAGATAGCAGAAGGCCAGCTACTGGGAAAGAATACTGGTGGGTCTCAAAGAGGCCACACTCTCCTTGGAGGACAGCAAACGGCTAACTCTTCACCTGGTCATGGTGTGGTTCCAATGGATAATGCGTCACCTACAGCTAGAGTTGTGGCATCAGAGAGGAGAAGCCAGCTGGCCAGGCACAGTGGATGACATCCTTTTCTTGCACAGCAATGTGAAGGAATCCCAGTGATCAATGGACTGTTTTTGAAATTATTGTTGTAGTAGCTTTATTTGTTGTCTGTCATTCATAGGCCATACGCAGGCCAGAGGCCTAAACCGTGGTCCTCTGTAGCTCAGCTGGTAGAGCACGGCGCTTGTAACGCCAGGGGTAGTGGGTTCGATCCCCGGGACCACCCCATACGTAAAAAATGTATGCACACGTGACTGTAAGTCGCTTCGGATAAAAGCGTCTGCTAAATGGCATATTAATTGTCTTTTGTGGTTGCATGTTCAGTGGAGCCACATCTTAAATGTTGTGTTATGTGTGTGTTCCAGGTTACCAGCCACCAGCCTGACGATGATTCTGGTTCTGTTGAACGCTCCAGGACCCAACAGAACCAGAACCGTAGGAACAGTGGGTATGTTGTGAAGCGCGCAGCTGTAAACGTCATTTACACTTGACACGGAAATAAACCATTTCATTCAATCATTCGTTCATCCATTCAGTCATTCATTCATCCATTCATTCATTCATTCATTCATTCATTCATTTAAGCTGTGTTGTTTCTATACTGTGTGTCTTCATGTCTTCACTAATGTGACATGTAGTTAAAATGGAGGCCAGTTTACATGTAGTTAAAATGGAGGCCAGTTTACATGTAGTTAAAATGGAGGCCAGTTTTATACACTAACCAGTCAGGAGGAGGCGCTAGATCCCTCCAGAAATATCTGCAGACAGTTGAGGAAACGTCAACCCTGTGACATGAGGTATCATATTACTGTGTCAGTACTGTTTTAATATAAATTAATCACATTTTCATTGGAAAATGCTTCTTTTTTTATTTATTTTTTATACACAACATTCCAGTCCAAACCACACATATGTTCCCCTCTTTCACCTTCTGCTGCTATTGTTGTTCCACTACTGTTTTATCATGAGTTATTCTGGAAGATCTAACCAGGTGTGTGTTTCCTGTGTCCCAGCTGCTGCTGCTGCTCTGTGGGGGAGAGAGAGGAGAGCAGCACTAACCTGAGGACCTCTGTGCTCCCCCTCTACCTCCTCTCCTGTCCATCCTTCACCTCCCTGCTGTCTGCCCGCATCACCAGAGCCCTGGGAGAGGAGGACAGGAGGCCCAGCGGACTCAGAGATCTTCCCAGCCAGGAAGGCACCGATCTGGGCAGCCCCAGCCCAAGTCCCAGCCCCTCCTCTGGAGACGGATACTTTGAGATGGGTCTGGGGGAGGTAGAGAAGGAGAGGGAGGGAGAGGAGGGGTCCCTGACTGACAAGGTGGAGGTAAAGGGAGAGAACCAGGCCCCAGAGACAGAGGTGTTACGTGTGACCAAAGTCATGTGGTGCCACTGCATCAGGGTTGGTGACGTGGTGGAGCAGAGGTCGGTGTGTGTGGTGCTAACAGATAGTCTGCTGGTGTTGTTCCACTGTCCTAGTCAGCCCTCCACAGCGCCGACCCATCAGCCCCAGAGCCAGCCTCAACACCTTGGCTCAGTCACAGACCAGACCCAGGGCCTGACCCTACAGGTCCTAGTAGATAGCCTGGAGCCAGACCTTGTCCTTCCCTACGACCAGCTAGATTCTCTCCTCTTCGACATCCCAGACACTTGCCTTTCCCTGAGGGTGAGGTCCTCGGACGTCCGCTGGTACCTCTTCTCAGACCCCCAGGGTTTAAAGGAGACCCACTCCCTGCTCTGCTCCCTGGCCAAGCTCCCCTCCTCCTCCCCGTCAGGAGGTCCATCCTCCCCCCAGCAGCTCCTCCAACTGCTCTTCACCTCCTGGGAGTTTGAGGAGAACCAGGACTGTGTGAATGGAGGTTATGCAGCACATCTAGTGGAGACTGCCATGTTGGCTCCCCAGACCAGACAGACCAGCCAGCAGACAACCTCCTCCACCAACCCAACTTTCACTCCTATGAAGAACTCTACTAACCCCAACACCTCCACCCTCCAAACTCCAACCAACCCCCTTCTCTCTGACATCCTATCCCACGTAGTTCCAGGGGGGGAAAGTGGGGACTCCTCCTGCTGTGTCCCCTGTGTCCTGTTCCTGACCCAGCGCCATCTCTGTGTGCTGAAGGTGGACTTCAAAGCTCTGGCCCGGGGAACCGCCAGAGAGGAACCATCAGACAACCACAATCAGAGGCTCCGCTCCTGCACCAGGCTCACCCGCATCCCCCTGGCCTCCGTGCTGCCCCACCCCAGGCTGAGTGCCCTGTATGGGGCTGGTGCTGGGTCTGTCCCTGCCTACTCTCCCCGCTGCCCCCTGCCCTGGCACCACCCCTACCCCAGAGACAGCCATGTAATGGAGCTCCTAGCAGGACAAGAGAGGGTCACGGCGGTGTTCCCCTTGCCTCACGACAGGCTCCGCTTCCAGAGACAGTTCACCCTGCTGCGCTCCGGCCTCAGAGACATTAAGACTGTGGCTTTCCTGCAGGGTGGGAACGAACACAGCCACAGTGACAGGACGATAAACATATCCACTCCCAATAAGACGAAGAGCACAGACAGGCTGCAGGTTAACAGGTACATACACACGGACACATTACTGAAGGACAGACTGTCCCATTACTGAAGGACAGACTGTCCCATTACTGAAGGACAGACTGTCCCATTACTGAAGGACAGACTGTCCCATTACTGAAGGACAGACTGTCCCATTACTGAAGGACAGACTGTCCCATTACTGAAGTACAGACTGTCCCATAACTGAAGGACAGACTGTCCCATTACTGAAGGACAGACTGTCCCATTACTGAAGGACAGACTGTCCCATTACTGAAGGACAGACTGTCCCATTACTGAAGGACAGACTGTCCCATTACTGAAGGACAGACTGTCCCATTACTGAAGGACAGACTGTCCCATTACTGAAGGACAGACTGTCCCATTACTGAAGGACAGACTGTCCCATTACTGAAGGACAGACTGTCCCATTACTGAAGGACAGACTGTCCCATTACTGAAGAACACACTGTCCCATTAATGAAGAACACACTGTCCCATTAATGAAGGACAGACTGTCCCATTAATGAAGGACAGACTGTCCCATTACTGAAGGACAGACTGTCCCATTACTGAAGGACAGACTGTCCCATTACTGAAGGACAGACTGTCCCATTACTGAAGGACAGACTGTCCCATTACTGAAGGACAGACTGTCCCATTAATGAAGGACAGACTGTCCCATTAATGAAGGACAGACTGTCCCATTAATGAAGGACAGACTGTCCCATAACTGAAGGACAGACTGTCCTTCAACTGAAGGACAGACTGTCCCATTATTGAAGGATAGACTGTCCCATTATTGAAGGACAGACTGTCCCATTAATGAAGGACAGACTGTCCCATAACTGAAGGACAGACTGTCCCATAACTGAAGGACAGACTGTACCATTACTGAAGGACAGACTGTCCCATTTTTTATAGAATAGAAATGTAGCTGAATTGAAATGTTTAGTGAATATAAAAATGTATTCTATTGCTAACAGTTAGCTATCAAGATCGAGGTTCTTCCATTTTTCATGACATATTGTCGCTCTTGCTTCAGGTGACGCTCGGATCCACCTCTATGCGGACGACACCATTTTGTATACATCTGGCCCTTCATTGGACACTGTGTTAACAAACCTCAAACGAGCTTCAATTCCATACAACACTCCTTCAGTAGCCTCCAACTGCTCTTAAACACTAGTAAAACTAAATGCATGCTCTTCAATCGAACGCTGCTTGCACCCGCCCACCCGACTAGAATCACCACTCTCGACGGGTCTGACCTAGAGTATGTGGACAACTACAAATATCTAGGTGTCTGGTTAGACTGTAAACTCAACTTCCAGACTCACATAAAGAATCTCCAATCCAAAGTTAAATCTAGAATCGGCTTCCTATTTCGCAACAAAGCCTCCTTCACTCATGCTGCCAAACATGCCCTCGTAAAACTGACTATCCTACCGATCCTTGACTTCGGCGATGTCATTTACAAAATAGCCTCCAACACTCTACTCAGCAAATTGGATGTAGTCTATCACAGTGCCATCCGTTTTGTCTCCAAAGCCCCATATAATACCCACCACTGTGACCTGTACGCTCTTGTTGGCTGGTCCTCACTACATGTTCGTCGTCAAACCCACTGGCTCCAGGCCATCTATAAATCACTGCTAGGCAAATCCCCGCCTTATCTTAGCTCATTGGTCACCATAGCAACACCCACCCGTAGTCTGCGCTCCAGCAGGTATATCTCACTGGTCATCCCCAAAGCCAACACCTCCTTTGGCCGCAATTCCTTCCAGTTCTCTGCTGCCAATGACTGGAACGAATTGCAAAAATCTCTGAAGCTGGAGACTCTTATCTCCCTCACTAACTTTAAGCATCAGTTGTCAGAGCACCTTACCGATCACTGCACCTGTACACAGCCCATCTGAAATTAGCCCGCCCAACTACCTCATCCCTATATTGTTATTTATTTTGCTCATTTGCACCCCAGTATCTCTATTTGCACATCATCTCTGCACATCTATCATTCCAGTGTTAATACAAAATTGTAATTATTTTGTACTATGGCCTATTTATTGCCTTACCTCCATAACTTGCTACATTTGAACACACTGTCTATATATTTTCTGTTGTATTTTTTTGACTTTATGTATTTTTTTACCCCATATGTAACTCTGTGTTGTTGTTTTTATCGCACTGCTTTGCTTTATCTTGGCCAGGTCGCAGTTGTAAATGAGAACTTGTTCTCAACTGGCTTACCTGGTTAAATAAAGGTGAAATAAAATTTAAAATAAACATTGTTTCTCTGTCTCTGTCTCTCCATCTAGCCCTCGGGGTGTTCAGCGTCCTCGGCCGTCCCTGTCCCTGTCCTACCCTACAGACATCCTGGTGGAGAAGCTGACAGGAGACAACCAGGTCCCATCCCACCTGTCCCTGTCCCCAGCCCTGTCCCTCCTTTCTGGGCTCAGGGGACACCAGCTGCTGGGGTTCTTCCACACAAACATTGCGGAGGTAGAGGGAGAGAGACACGTGCACACACACACACACACACACACACACACACACACACACACACACACACACACACACACACACACACACAGCTGTATGCACGCAACACACACACACACACACACACACACACACACACACAGCTGTATGCACGCAACACACACACACACACAAACAGACACACACAGGCACAAAAATTGATCGCCGGAAAACGTGACTGGTAAGATTTAAATTTACCAGACATTTTAGAAGTTTACTTGATATCCATATGCATTGGGTGCGTAACCTGATTAGGGTAACCGCCCACGGTGCTCAGAATGACAGAAATCACATTTAGATTAGCTATGGTCATTCATATTAACAGGAATTAGCCGGTAAAGTTCTTCTACCGACAGGTTTTATTGAAAAGCTTGTCTTCCTCCCTGCTATAAATTATCAATGTAGATCTTTAAAAAAAAAAATTAACTAAACATTCAGTCTAGAAGAACAAGTCTCCTACACAGTGATAAAACAGTAATAAAAAATAATCTAATTTGCAAACGACCTGTCCTATAGGCTATTTAAAGAGGTGTGTCTGTGTGTGCCGGAAGCTGCTGGAGGAAGTGACACTTAACGAGCCTCGCTGGCGATGTGTGATGTCATCATGGGCTGCTGAGCAACTCTGCTGTCCTCAGAACTGGATATTTATTAAAGGGCAATTCTGGCACTTTTCAACCTCATTCATTATCTCCATTCACCAAACCAGTGTCTACATACAGTGCATTCAGAAAGTATTCAGACAACTTGACCCTTTTCAACATTTTGTTACGTTACAGCCTTATTCTAAAATTGATTAAATAAATCATTTTCTTTATCAATCTGCACACAATACCCCATAATGATAAAGCGAAACAGGTTTTTATATATTTTTGCTAATTTATAAAAAATAAAAAATAAAAATACTTTATTTACATAAGCATTCAGACTCTTTGCTATGAGACTCGAAATTGAGCTCCGGTGCATCCTGTTTCCATTGACCATCCTTGAGATGTTTCTACAACTTGATTGGAGTCCACATGTGGTAAATTCAATTGATTGGACATGATTTGGAAAGGCACACACCTGTCTATATAAGGTCCCACAGTTGACAGTTCATGTCAGAGCAAAAACCAAGCCATGAGGTCAAAGGAATTGTCCGTAGAGCTCCGAGACAGGATTGTGTCGAGGCACAGATCTGGGGAAGGGTACCAAAAAATGTCTGCAGCATTGAAGGTCCCCAAGAACACAGGGGCCTCCATCATTCTTAAATGGAAGAAGTTTGGAACCACCAAGACTCTTCCTAGAGCTGGCCGCCCGGCCAAACTGAGCAATCGGGGGAGAAGGGCCTTGGTCAGGGAGGTGACCAAGAACCCGATGGTCACTCTGACAGAGCTCCAGAGTTCCTCTGTGGAGATGGGAGAACCTTCCAGAAGGACAACCATCTCTGCAGCACTCCACCAATCAGGCCTTTATGGTAAAGTGGCCAGACGGAAGCCACTCCTCAGTAAAAGGCACATGACAGCCCGCTTGGAGTTTGCCGAAGGGCACCTAAAGGACTCTCAGACCATGAGAAACAAGATTGAACTCTTTGGCCTGAATGCCAAGCATCACGTCTGGAGGAAACCTGGCACCATCCCTACGGTGAAGCATGGTGGTGGCAGCATCATGCTGTGGGGATGTTTTTCAGCAGCAGGGACTGGGAGACTAGTCTGGATTGAGGGAAAGATGAACGGAGCAAAGTACAGAGAGATCCTTGATGAAAACCTGCTCCAGAGTGCTCAGGACCTCAGACTGGGGCGAAGGTTCACCTTCCAACAGGACAACAACCCTAAGCACACAGCCAAGACAACGCAGGAGTGGCTTCGGGACAAGTCTCTGAATGTCCTTGAGTGGCCCAGCCAGAGCCTGGACTTGAACCCGATCAAACATCTCTGGAGAGACCTGAAAATAGCTGTGCAGCGACGCTCCCCATCCAACCTGACAGAGCTTGAGAGGATCTGCAGAGAAGAATGGGAGAAACTCCCCAAATACAGGTGTGCCAAGCTTGTAGCGTCATACCCAAGAAGACTCGAGGCTGTAATCGCTGCCAAAGGTGGTGTGTGCCTGTGATGTCTGAGATGTTTAAAGGAGATGGTGTGCACCTGTGATGTTTAAAGGGGATGGTGTGTGCCTGTGATGTCTATGAGATGTTTAAAGGGGATGGTGTGTGCCTGTGATGTCTGAGATGTTTAAAGGGGATGGTGTGTGCCTGTGATGTCTATGAGATGTTTAAAGGGGATGGTGTGCACCTGTGATGTCTGAGATGTTTAAAGGGGATGGTGTGTGCCTGTGATGTCTATGAGATGTTTAAAGGGGATGGTGTGTGCCTGTGATGTCTGAGATGTTTAAAGGGGATGGTGTGTGCCTGTGATGTCTATGAGATGTTTTAAAGGGGGATGGTGTGCGCCTTGTGAGTGTCTGAGATGTTTAAAGGTTGATCGGTGTGCACCCTGTGATGTTTAAAGGGATGTGTGTGCCTGTGATGTCTATGAGATGTTTTTAAGGGGATTGATGTGGTGCCTGTGATTGTCTATGAGATGTTTAAAGGGGATGGTGTGTATTCCTGGAGATGTCTATGAGATGTTTTAAGGGGATGGTGGCGGCCTGTGATGTCTGAGAGTTTTTAAAGGGGATGGTGTGCACCTGTGATGTTAAAAGGGGGGGGGATGGTGTGTGCCTTGTGTGTGATGTCTAGAGATGTTTTAAAGGGGATGGGTTGTGCCTGTGTGTCTGGACGTTTAAAGGGGTGGTGTGTGCTGTGTGTGATGTAGAGATGTTTCAAGGGGTGGCGTGTGCCTGTGATGTCTAGGAGTGTTTACCAGGGGAGATGGTGTGTGCATGTTGATGTCTATGAGATGTTTAAAGGGATGGGTGTGTGCCTGGGATGCTATGAGATGTTAAAGGGGAATGGTGTTTTTTTTTATGTTGCCTGTGGATGTCTGAGATGTTTTAAAGGGGGAGATGTTGTGTGTGGCCGTATGTCTGAGAGGTTTTTAAAGGGATGGTGGTGGCCTGGGTGTGATGTCTATGAGGATGTTTAAAGGGGATGGTTGTGTGCGTCTGATGGTCTGAGATGTTTAAAGGGGATGGTGTGGGGCTGTGTGATGTCTATAGATGTTTAGGGATGGGTGTGTGCATGTGAGGTCTGAGAGGTGTTAAAGGGATGGTGTGTGTTGCCTGTGATTGTCGAGATGTTAAAGGGGATGGTTGTGTGCATGTGAGTTGTCTGAGATGTTTTTTAAAGGGGAGATGGTTGTGTGCCTGTGATGTATGAGAGAGATGTTTAGGGGGTGGTGTGAGCTGTGTGTCTGAGATGTTTAAAAGGGGATGGTGTGATGCCTGTGATGTCTATGAGATTGTTAAAGCGGGATGGTGTGTGCCTGTGATGTATGAGATGTTTAAAGGGAGAGATGGTGTGTGCCTGTGATGTTATTGAGTGTTTTAAAGGGGGATTGTGTGCAACTGTGATGTCTGAGATGTTTAAGGGATGGTGTGCACCTCTGTGATGTTTTAAAGGGGGAGGTGTGTGCCTGTGAGTCTATGAGAGTTTTTAAAATGGGATCGGTGTGTCCTGTGGATTCTATGAGATGTTTAAAGGGGCTGGTGTGTCCTGTGATGTCTCTGAAGATGTTTAAAGGGGATGGTGTGCGCCGTGTGATTTGAGATGTTTAAGGGATGGTGTGCACCTGTGATGTTTAAAGGGGCTGGTGTGTGCCTGGATGTCTATGAGCTGTTAAAGGGGGATGGTGTGCGCAGTGGCTGTGATGTCTGAGATGTTAAAGGGGATGGTGTGTGCCTGTGATGTCTATAGATGTTTGTTTAAAGGGGATGGTGTGTGTGCCTGTGATGTCTGAGATGTTTAAAGGGATGGTGTGTGCCTGTGATTGGTTATGAGATGTTTAAAGGGGATGGGTGCACTGTGATGTCTGAGATGTTTAATTAAAGGGGATGGTGGGCACCTGTGATTGTTTAAAGGGGCTGTGTGTGCCTGTGATGTATGAGATGTTTAAAGGGATGGTGGGTGCCTGTGATGTCTATGAGATGTTTAAAGGGGATGGTTGTGTGCATGTGCCTGTCTATGAGATGTTTTTAACGGGGATGGTGTGCGGCCTGTGATGTTCTGGAGGATGTTTAAAGGGGATGGTGGCACTGTGATGTTTAAAGGGGAATGGTGTGTGCCTCTGTGATTCTAGGAATGTTTTAAACGGGGATGGTGTGGCCTGTGATGTCTATGAGATGTTTAAAGGGGATGGTGTGTGCCTGTGATGTTGAGCTGTTTACGGGGATGGAGTGTGCTGTGATGTCTGAGATGTTTTTTAAAGGGGATGGGGTGTGCCGCCTCTTGATTGTCTACTATGAGATGTTTTTAAAGGGGATGGTGTGTGCCCCTGGAGTCTGAGATGTTTTTTAAAGGGGATGGTGGGTGCTGTGAGTGAGATGGTTTTTAAAGGGGGATGGATGTGTGCTTGTGAGGTCTATGAGATGTTTACATTAAAGGGGGATTGGGTGTGCGGTGATGTTGAGATGTTAACGGGGTGGGAATGTCGGTGCCTGTGAGTCTGGATGTTTAAAGGGGATGGGTGTGCCGGTGATGTTGAGATAGTAAAGGGGATGGTTGTGTGTGCCTGTGATGGTCTGAGATGTTAAAAGGATGGTGAAGCCTGTGTTGATATCTATGAGAGGTTTAAAGGGGGATGGTCTTGTGTGCCGTGATGCTATGAGAGGTTTAAAGGGCTGTGTGGCGATGTGAGTCTAGAGTGTTTTAAAGGGGATGGTGTGGGCCCTGTGATGTCTATGATGATTTAAAGGGGATGGTGTGCTTGCCTTTGTTTTTTTTTTTCTTGCTGTCTATGAGATGTTTAAAGGGGAGGGGGTGCACCTTGTGATGTCTATGAGATGTTGAAAGGGGATGGTGTGTGCCTGTGATGGTCTGAGATGTTTAAAGGGGATGGCTTGTGTGCCTGTGCTGTTATGAGATTGTTTTTAAAGGGGTGGTTGCTTGGGTGCCTGTATGTCTATTGAGAGGGTTTAATTTAAGGGGATGGTGTGTGCCTGTGGATGTCTATGAGATGTTTAAAGGGGGGATTGGTGTGTGCCTGTGATGTCTATGAGGTGTTTAAAGGGGATGGTTGTAGTGCCTGTGATGTCGAGCTGTTTAAAGGGGATGGTGTGTGCCTGTGATGTCTGAGATGTTTAAAGGGGAGGATGGTGTGCGCATCCTGTGATGTCTGAATGTTTAAGTAGGGGATGGCTGTGTGTGCGCTTGTTGATGCGAAGTTTAGATTGTTAACGGGCGAGTTGGTGTGTTGCTGTGATGTCTTATGAGATGTTTAAAGGGGAGGGTGTTGCCTGGCTGTCTATGAGCTGTTAAAGGAATGGTTGTGTGACTTGTGCATGTCTATAGAGTTTAAGGGGATGGTGTGTGCATGTGATGTCTATGAGATGTTTTTAAAGGGGATGGTTGTGTGCTTTGGGATGTTTATGCATGTTTAAAAGGGGATGCGGGTGTGCTGTGATGTCTATGATCTGTTTAAAGGGGGCGGATGGTGTGCACCGGTGATGTCTCTGAGATGTTAAAGGGGAGATGGTGTGGCACCTGTTGATGTTTAAAGGGGATGGGTGTGGGTTGTAATGTTGCCTGTGATGTCTATGAGATGTTTTAAAGGGGATGTGTGTGCCTGGATGTCTTGAGATGTTTTTTTTAAAGGGGATGGTGTGTGTGCCTTGTGATGTCTATTGAGATGTTTAAAGGGGATGAGGTGTGTGCAGGTGATGTCCTGAGATGTTTAAGGGGATGGTGTTGCACCTGTGATGTCTGAGATGTTTCAAGGGGATGGGTGCACCTGTGAGGTTTAAAAGGGGATGGTGTTGCCTGTGATGTTCTATGAGATGTTAATTTAAAGGGGAGGTGTGCATGTGATTGTGATGTCTGAATGGTTTAAAGGGGATGGGTGACTGTGATGTTTCAGGGGGATGGGTGTGCCGGTTGATGTCTAGAGAGATGTTTTAAAGGGGGAGGATGGTGTGTGCTGTGAGTACTATGAGGTTTAAAGGGGATGGTGTGTGCTGTTAGTCTGAGATGTTTAAAGGGGATGGATGTGTGCCTGTGATTCTATGAGATGTTTAAAGGAATGATGTGTGCCGTGCTGTCTGAGATGTTTAAAGGGGAGTGGTGTTGCACCGGTGAGTCTGAGTCGTTTAAAGGGGGTGGTGGTGTGCCACGGATGTTTAAAGGGATGTGTGTGCCTGTGTGTGAGATGTTTAAAGGGATGGGTGGCCGGTGATGTCTCTGAGATGTTTTTTAAAGGGGATGTGTTGCGCCCGGTTATGTCATGAGTGTTTAAGGGGGATGGGTGTGCCTGTGTGATTCTGGAAGATGTTTAAAGGGGTGTGGATGGTGTGCACTGTGATGTTTAAAGGGGGATGGTGTCTGCCTGTGAGGTCATGAGATGTTTAATGGGATGGGTGTGCCTGGGATGTCTATGAGATGTTTAAAGGGGATGGTGTGTGCCTGTGATGTCTTGAGATGTTTCTAAAGGGAAGGGGATGGGGGGGCTGTGAGGTCGAGATGGTGTTAAAGGGGGATGTAAAAGGGGATGGCCTGTGTGTGTTTCCATCAGGAAGAGGAGGAGGAGCTACAGCACATCCTGTGGTCATCGGTGGTTTTTTATAAGTCACCTGACGTCGAGGCCACTTCCTGTGTCATGCTCTCTACCAAAGCCCTCTACTTCCTGCTGGACGACTCGCCTCACGCTAAAAGACCAATACGTAGACACAAGCACACTGAAGGCAGCTACGCTTAGTGACAGGACACCCTGCAAGGCAGAGCTAGATCTAGTGACCAGACACAATTGAAAGGCAGCTACGCTTCGTGACCAGCCACACTGGCAAGCAGCTACGCTTAGTGACCAGACACACTGCAAGGCAGCTACGCTTAGTGACCAGACACACTGCAAGGCAGCTACGCTTAGTGACCAGACACACGGCAAGGCAGCTACGCTTAGTGACCAGACACAACTGCAAGGCAGCTACGCTTAGTGACCAGACACACTGCAAGGCAGCTACGCTTAGTGACCAGACACACTGCAAGGCAGCTACGCTTAGTGACCAGACACACTGCAAGGCAGCTACGCTTAGTGACCAGACACACTGCAAGGCAGCTACGCTTAGTGACCAGACACACTGCAAGGCAGCTACGCTTAGTGACCAGACACACTGCAAGGCAGCTACGCTTAGTGACCAGACACACTGCAAGGCAGCTACGCTTAGTGACCAGACACACTGCAAGGCAGCTACGCTTAGTGACCAGACACACTGCAAGGCAGCTACGCTTAGTGACCAGACACATAAGAAAATAATCTATCACAGAATCTAGTTCAAAAGAGCTGCATGAGTTTGAGGGAGAGCTGGTCAGTGACTATGTTTACATGCACACTAATAACTCCATATTAAACTGATTATGGTAGTAGGCCGAGTAGGCATTAGTCATGTAGATACCTTACTCTGCTCATCTGTTACAATTGTAGGAATGTGTGTTGTCTTTATACTGTGGGTCTGTAGTAATGTGTGTTGTCTTTATACTGTAGTACTGTGGGTCTGTAGTAATGTGTGTTGTCTTTATACTGTGGGTCTGTAGTAATGTGTGTTGTCTTTATACTGTGGGTCTGTAGTAATGTGTGTTGTCTGTAGTAATGTGTGTTGTCTTTATACTGTGGGTCTGTAGTAATGTGTGTTGTCTTTATACTGTGGGTCTGTAGTAATGTGTGTTGTCTGTAGTAATGTGTGTCTGTAGTAATGTGTGTTGTCTTTATACTGTGGGTCTGTAGAAATGTGTGTTGTCTTTATAATGTAGTACTGTAGAAATGTGTGTTGTCTTTATACTGTGGGGTCTGTAGAAATGTGTGTTGTCTTTATACTGTGGGTCTGTAGAAATGTTGTGTTGTCTTTATACTGTATGTTACTGTATGGTTGTCTTTATACTGTGGGTTCTGTAGAAATGTGTGTTGTCTTTATACTGTGGGTCTGTAGAAATGTGTGTTGTCTTTATACTGTGGGTCTGTAGAAATGTGTGTTGTCTTTATACTGTAGTACTGTATGTTGTCTTTATACTGTGGGTCTGTAGAAATGTGTGTTGTCTTTATACTGTGGGTCTGTAGAAATGTGTGTTGTCTTTATACTGTGGGTCTGTAGAAATGTGTGTTGTCTTTATACTGTGGGTCTGTAGAAATGTGTGTTGTCTTTATACTGTGGGTCTGTAGAAATGTGTGTTGTCTTTATACTGTGGGTCTGTAGAAATGTGTGTTGTCTTTATACTGTGGGTCTGTAGAAATGTGTGTTGTCTTTATAATGTAGTACTGTGGTTCTGTACATTTACATTTTAGTCATTTAGCAGACGCTCTTATCCAGAGCGACTTACAGTTAAGTGAGTGCATACATTTTCATACTGCCCCCCCCGTGGGAATCGAACCCACAACCCTGGCGTTGCAAACTCCACGCTCTACCAACTGAGCTACATCCCCAGGGTCTGAATGGAGTCTTAGGTTAATATCCAGTATATACAATACAATTAAAAGGGGCAAGATTTTCTAACAATTGGCTAATGTAATAAAATGAATGTAAATATACAATATGTAAATATACAATAGTTTTTCAAAGAAATAACAAGTGTAACATTGAATGGAGTCTTTAGCTTCAAAGTACAATAAAATATTAAGAGTGTGCTTTCAAAGTGAGTTTACAACTTCAACATGCACAACATCGATATTTCATGAACATGACATGAACGTTTCATGGTTTAAATATACAGAGACACACCAGACAACTACAAACACATCAGCTACTGGACAGAGTATACAGAACGGATGATTATCATGTATACTCTGTCCAGCAGCTGTGAGAGCTGACAGTTTCTCAGGCTGTGTTCACATCGGAAAAAGCAGAGGTTGACTGTGGGGCTACGATTTAAACACAATCCCCATTTTGACCTTGAGCTTGGGTCCAGCAACCAAACGTCTAGAAGTGAACCTGAAGGACTAGGCTGCCACGCATCTGTACCCAGACAGCCCCCGAGACAAAGTAGTTCCAGTGCTCTCTCTCTCCAGGTCTCCGCCCCCACTGTTTCTCCCTTGACCTCTACTGTGTAGCTAATTTTCCCCCAACATCGGACACCCCCTAACTATGAACACCCCCTAACTATGGACACCCCCTAACTATGGACACTCTCTAGCGGTTGGAGGACTAAATCACCTCGAGCTCAACATTTAAAAGTAGTGTAGTAGTGCACTGTAGTAATGTGTTGTTTTTATACTGTGGGTCTGTAGTAATGTGTTGTTTTTATACTGTGGGTCTGTAGTAATGTTTTTTTTTTTTACTGTAGTACTGTGGATCTGTAGTAATGTGTGTTGTCTTTATACTGTGGGTCTGTAGTAATGTGTGTTGTCTTTATACTGTGGGTCTGTAGAAATGTGTGTTGTCTTTATACTGTGGGTCTGTAATAATGTGTGCTGTCTTTATACTGTGGGTCTGTAGAAATGTGTGTTGTCTTTATACTGTGGGTCTGTAATAATGTGTGTTGTCTGTAGTAATGTGTGTTGTCTTTATACTGTGGGTCTGTAGTAATGTGTGTTGTCTTTATACTGTAGTACTTTGGGTCTGTATTAATGTGTGTTGTCTTTATATTGTGGGTCTGTAATAATGTGTGTTGTCTTTATACTGTGGGTCTGTAGTAATGTGTGTTGTCTTTATACTGTAGTACTTTGGGTCTGTATTAATGTGTGTTGTCTTTATATTGTGGGTCTGTAGTAATGTGTGTTGTCTTTATACTGTGGGTCTGTAGTAATGTGTGTTGTCTTTATACTGTAGTACTGTGGGTCTGTAGTAATGTGTGTTGTCTTTATACTGTGGGTCTGTAATAATGTGTGTTGTCTTTATACTGTGGGTCTGTAGTAATGTGTGTTGTCTTTATACTTCAGTACTGTGGGTCTGTAATAATGTGTGTTGTCTTTATACTGTGGATCTGTAGTAATGTGTGTTGTCTTTATACTGTGGATCTGTAGTAATGTGTGTTGTCTTTATACTGTGGGTCTGTAGTAATGTGTGTTGTCTTTATACTGTGGGTCTGTAGTAATGTGTGTTGTCTTTATACTGTGGGTCTGTAATAATGTGTGTTGTCTTTATACTGTGGGTCTGTAGTAATGTGTGTTGTCTTTATACTGTGGGTCTGTAGTAATGTGTGTTGTCTTTATACTGTGGGTCTGTAGTAATGTGTGTTGTCTTTATACTGTGGGTCTGTAGTAATGTGTGTGTCTTTATACTGTGGGTCTGTAGTAATGTGTGTTGTCTTTATACTGTGGGTCTGTAGTAATGTGTGTTGTCTTTATACTGTAGTACTGTGGGTCTGTAGTAATGTGTGTTGTGTTCTTTATACTGTGGGTCTGTAGTAAGTTGTGTTGTCTTTAATACTGTATGTGGGTCTGTAATAAGTGTGTTGGTCTTCATAACGGTGGGTCTGTATAATGTTGTTTGTCTTTATACCGTGGGTCTGTAGTAAAAATGTGTGGTTTGTACTTTATACTACTGCAGTAATGTGGGTTCTGTAGTAAGGTGTGTTGTCTTTATACTGGTGTACTGTGGGTCCTGTAGTAATGTGTGTTTGTCTTTATACTGTAGTGTGGTCTGTAGTAAATGTGTGTTTGTCTTATCATACTGTGGGATCCTGTAGTAAGGTGTGTTGTCTTTATCTGCAGTACTGTGGGATCGGTAGTGAAGTGTGTTGTTCTTTATACTGTGGGTCTGTAGTAAATGTGTGTTGTCTTTAATAACGCTGTGGTCTGTAGTAATGTGTGTTGTCCTTTAATAACTGTGGGGTCTGTAGTAAGGTGTGGTTTGTCTTTATACTGCAGTACTGTGGGTCTGTAGTAATGTGTGTTGTCTTTATACTGGTGGGTCGGTAGTAATGTGTGTTGTCTTTTATACTGTGGTTCTGTAGTAATGGTGTGTTGTCTTTATACGTGGGTCTGTAGTAATGTGTGTTGTCTTTATACTGCAGTACTGTGGGTCTGTAGTAATGTGTGTTGTCTTTATACTGCAGTACTGTGGGTCTGTAGTAATGTGTGTTGTCTTTATACTGCAGTACTGTGGGTCTGTAGTAATGTGTGTTGTCTTTATACTGTGGGTCTGTAGTAATGTGTGTTGTCTTTATACTGTGGGTCTGTAGTAATGTGTGTTGTCTTTATACTGTGGGTCTGTAGTAATGTGTGTTGTCTTTATACTGGTGGGTCTGTAGTAATGGTGTGTTTGTCCTTTATACTGCAGTATGTGGGTCTGTAGTAATGTGTGTTGTCTTTATACTGTGGGTCTGTAGTAATGTGTGTTGTCTTTATACTGTAGTACTGTGGGTCTGTAGTAATGTGTGTTGTCTTTATACTGTGGGTCTGTAGTAATGTGTGTTGTCTTTATACTGCAGTACTGTGGGTCTGTAGTAATGTGTGTTGTCTTTATACTGCAGTACTGTGGGTCTGTAGTAATGTGTGTTGTCTTTATACTGTGGGTCTGTAGTAATGTGTGTTGTCTTTATACTGCAGTACTGTGGGACTGGAGCCACTCTGAGCATCAGGACCCAGAGCTGATCATGTCTTACTGTTTCACCATGAAGCTCAACGACCTCCAGTCTGTCAACGTGGGCCTGTTCGACCAGTACTTCAGGGTGGTGGGTGAGTAGGGAGGGAGGGAGAATGAATGAATGAATAAATGAATGAATGAATGGTCATGAATGTATGACTACAGTGTCACAGAGAGGAGTCGGATCAGGATGTTAAGGACATAGTGTAAAGTGTTACCTGAATTCATAAAAATCACAATCCCAGATCATTTCTGATGTGATGATGACCTAGTGTGACCTGATAATAAATACTGAACAAAAATATAAACGCAACAATTTCAAAGATTTTACTGAGTTACAGTTAATATATTAGGAAATCAGTCAATTGAAATAAATAAATTAGGCCCTAATCTATGGGTTTCACATGACTGGGAGTACAGATATGCATCTGTTGGTCACAGATACCTTTAAAAAAAGGTAGGGGCGTGGATCAGAAAACCAGTCAGTATCTGGTGTGACCAGCATTTGCCTCATGCAGCGCGACACATCTCCTTCGCATAGAGTTGATCAGGCTGTTGATTGGGCTTGTGGAATTGATGGATGTTGGCGGAAAAAGGAACACGCTGTCGTACACGTCGATCCAGAGCATCCCAAGCAGGCTCAATGGGTGACATGTCTGGTGAGTATGTAGGTCATGGAAGAACTGGGACATTTTCAGCTTCCAGAAATTGTGTACAGATCCTTGTGACACGGGGCTGTGCATTATCATGCTGAAACATGAGGTGATGGCAGCAGATGAATGGCACGACAATGGGCCTCAGGATCTCATTCAAATTGCCATCGATAAAATGCAATTGTGACGTACTGCCAAATTCTCTAAAACAAAGTTGGAGGTGGCTTATGGTAGAGAATTGAACATTAAATTCTCTGGCAACAGCTCTGGTGGACATTCCTGCAGTCAGCATGCCAATTGCACGCTCCCTCAAAACTTGAGACATCTGTGGCATTGTGTTGTGTGGCAAAACTGCACATTTTAGAGTGGCCTTTTCTTTTCCCAAGCACAAGGTGCACCTGTGTAATGATCATGCTGTTTAATCAGCTTCTTGATATGCCACACCTGTCTGGTGGGTGGGTTATCTTGGCAAAGGAGAAATGCTCACTAACAGGGATGTAAACAAATTTGTGCGCAACATTTGAGAGAAATAAGCTTTTTGTGCATATGGAAAATATCTGGGATCTTTTATTTCAGCTCATGAAACATGGGACCAACACTTTACATGTTGCGTTTATATTTTTGTTCAGTGTTGTATGTTAATTGTGTTGTCTGGGCTGGGCTGGCTGCTGGGCTGGCTACTGGACTGGGCTGGCTGCTGAACTGGGCTGGCTGCTGGGCTGGCTGCTGGACTGGGCTGGCTGCTGGGCTGGCTGCTGGGCTGGCTGCTGGACTGGCTGGCTGCTGGATGGCTGCTAGACTGGGCTGGCTGCTGGACTGGGATGGCTGCTGGACTGGGATGGCTGCTGGACTGGGAGGCTGCTGGACTGGGATGGCTGCTGGACTGGGTCTGGGTCTGGTTGTAATGTGTTGTGTGTTATTTGTCTCCAGGACCGTCAGCAGATCACATCATCTGCTGTCTGACGAGGGACAGTTACGGGACACACCGCTTCCTGCAGCAGCTGATGACGGTCCTCTCTCTACAGGACAAACTACCCTCTCCTGAACCCTCCGAACAAGACTTCTACACACAGTTTGGAAAAAAATCCACAGGTATTCATAAAATTTAATATTTTTAAGTTTTCAGCAGTAAAATGCCCTTGTGGAGATATGAGAGGATTGGCCAGGTTTAAGAAACAGATCTCCACAATAACATGGGTAGGATCTAGGGGTTCCATTTGTGATTAAGAATAAATGAGTCCTGTCTGTCCCACTGTGTTGACGTGTCAAACTAAATGAGTCCTGTCTGTCCCACTGTGTTGACGTGTCAAACTAAATGAGTCCTGTCTGTCCCACTGTGTTGACGTGTCAAACTAAATGAGTCCTGTCTGTCCCACTGTGTTGACGTGTCAAACTAAATGAGTCCTGTCTGTCCCACTGTGTTGACGTGTCAAACTAAATGAGTCCTGTCTGTCCCACTGTGTTGACGTGTCAAACTAAATGAGTCCTGTCTGTCCCACTGTGTTGACGTGTCAAACTAAATGAGTCCTGTCTGTCCCACTGTGTTGACGTGTCAAACTAAATGAGTCCTGTCTGTCCCACTGTGTTGACGTGTCAAACTAAATGAGTCCTGTCTGTCCCACTGTGTTGACGTGTCAAACTAAATGAGTCCTGTCTGTCCCACTGTGTTGACGTGTCAAACTAAATGAGTCCTGTCTGTCCCACTGTGTTGACGTGTCAAACTAAATGAGTCCTGTCTGTCCCACTGTGTTGACGTGTCAAACTAAATGAGTCCTGTTAGTCTCTCAGGGAAGATGCAGAACTATGAACTGGTCCACTCTAGCAGGGTAAAGTTCATCTACCCCAGTGAAGAGGAGATTGGAGACCTGACCTTCATCGTAGCCGAGAGGAAAGGTTATACTGGGGCGTCCTCCTGTAATATCCTGCTCTATGTACTGGTGTTCCAGGTGCAGACCCAGGGGCCAGGTGGCTCACAGGGCCTCCGTGTGCTCCCACAGACCCAGGGGCCAGGTGGCTCACAGGGCCTCAATGTGCTCCCACAGACCCAGGCCCCAGCTGCAGGCAGACAGACTTCCGCTGGGGGTCTGCAGGGGGACAGAAAGTCTCTCCACCACCTCCGCCCCCAGAGCCCGGTCTCTGCTAGCCAGCCCCGTCTTCACCCCCAGGCTCCAGCCCAAGTCCCCTCCATCGGGCCCCACATCCCCCAGCAGAGCCTCCCTCCCCAGGCCCCGGACCCCTCCACCCCCAGTCCTGTCCTCCATCCTAAGACCCTGATCCTGACCAGTACAGACGTCTTCCTGCTGGATGAGGATTACATCAGCTACCCGCTGCCGGACTTTGCCAAGGAGCCCCCTCCCCGAGACAAGTACCAACTGACCGACGCTCGACGAATAAGAGACCTGGATAGAGTCCTCATGGGTTACCAGACGTACCCGCAGGCGCTGACGTTAGTCTTCGACGATGTCCCTGGGCCAGACCTCCTCTGTCAACTCACCATGGACCACTTTGGAGAAGAGGAGGTGGAAGGAGGAGGGGAGAGGGGGAGATGTGGTAGTGGGGGAGCAGAGAGCGAGGTGCTGTGGTGTATCTATGTTCCCGGAGCGGACAGCAGGGAGAGGCTGATATGTCTGTTAGCGAGACAGTGGGAAGTGCTATGTAGTAGGGAACTGCCTGTAGAACTCACTGGCTGACTGGTTCTTCTGCCCGTAGAACTCACTGGCTGACTGGTTCTTCTGCCCGTAGAACTCACTGGCTGACTGGTTCTTCTGCCGGTAGAACTCACTGGCTGACTGGTTCTTCTGCCCGTAGAACTCACTGGCTGACTGGTTCTTCTGCCTGTAGAACTCCCTGGCTGACTGGTTCTCTGCCCGTAGAACTCACTGGCTGATGGTTCTTCTGCCCGTAGAACTCACTGGCTGACTGGTTCTTCTGCCCGTAGAACTCACTGGCTGACTGGTTCTTCTGCCCGTAGAACTCACTGGCTGACTGGTTCTTCTGCCTGTAGAAATCACTGGCTGACTGGTTCTTCTGCCGGTAGAACTCACTGGCTGACTGGTTCTTCTGCCTGTAGAACTCACTGGCTGACTGGTTCTTCTGCCTGTAGAACTCACTGGCTGACTGGTTCTTCTGCCTGTAGAACTCACTGGCTGACTGGTTCTTCTGCCGGTAGAACTCACTGGCTGACTGGTTCTTCTGCCTGTAGAACTCACTGGCTGACTGGTTTTCTGCCGTAGTAGAACTCATGGCTGATGGTTCTTCTGCCCGTTTGAAACTCACTGGCTGACTGGTTCTTCTGCCCGTAGAACTCACTGGCTGATGGTTCTTTGCCTGTAGAACTCACTGGCTGACTGGTTCTTCTGCCGTAGAAACTCACTGGCTGACTGGTTCTTCTGCCCGTAGAACTCATGGCTGACTGGTTCTCTGCCGTAGAACTCATGGCTGACTGGTTCTTGCCTGTAGAACTCACTGGCTGACTGGTTCTTCTGCCTGTAGAACTCATGGCTGATGGTTCTTCTGCCGGTAGAACTCACTGGCTGACTGGTTCTTCTGCCTGTATAACTCACTGGCTGACTGGTTCTTCTGCCGGTAGAACTCACTGGCTGACTGGTTCTTCTGCCGGTAGAACTCACTGGCTGACTGGTTCTTCTGCCGGTAGAGAACTCATGGCTGACTGGTTCTTTGCCGGGTAGAACTCACTGGCTGACTGGTTCTTCTGCGGTAGAAACTCACTGGTGATGGTTCTTTGCCGGTAGAACTGAACTGGCTGACTGGTTCTTCTGCCTGTTGAACTCACTGGCTGACTGACTGGGTATTCTGCCTAACTGGTTCTTCTGCCTGTAGAACTAACTGGCTGACTGGTTCTTCTGCCAGTAGAACTCACTGGCTGACTGGTTCTTCTGCCGGTAGAACTAACTGGCTGACTGGTTCTTCGGCCGGTAGAACTCACTGGCTGACTGGTTCTTCTGCCGGTAGAACTCACTGGCTGACTGGTTCTTCTGCCTGTTGAACTCACTGGCTGACTGACTGGGTATTCTGCCTAACTGGTTCTTCTGCCTGTAGAACTAACTGGCTGACTGGTTCTTCTGCCGGTAGAACTAACTGGCTGACTGGTTCTTCTGCCGGTAGAACTAACTGGCTGACTGGTTCTTCTGCCGGTAGAACTAACTGGCTGACTGGTTCTTCTGCCGGTTGAACTCACTGGCTGACTGACTGGGTCTTCTTCTAGGAGGTTCTAAAGCAGGGCTCTACACTGACCTTTTTTACAATGAGCATGTGTGCACCTAAGTTGAAACATTTTGGCGCACACAAAGAAATTTAGGAGCACAATGAAAAATATTTTAGATATTAAAGCTATAATCCTTAATTTTTCGAGGCCCACTGGTGCTCCTAATTTAAAAAACAAACAGGGAATCAAAACCCCCAAAGAATCCTCTTCTTCCCCTCTTCTTCCCCTCTTCCTCCCCTCTTCTTCCCCTCTTCTTCCCCTCTTCCTCCCCTCTTCCTCCCCTCTTCCTCCCCTCTTCCTCCTCAAAGGAAGTTATGTGATGTTTCTTATTGTTTATAATCTAAATGCATCCTGGGTATTTGTAGAGTCCACACCAGTGTGATATTTATTTGTTATCTTTGTACATAGCTCCTCTCCCAACCCATAGCTCCTCCCCCAACCCATAGCTCCTCCCCCAACCCATAGCTCCTCCCCCAACCCATAGCTCATGCCCCAACCCATAGCTCCTCCCCCAACCCATAGCTCATGCCCCCAACCCATAGCCCCTCCCCCAACCCATAGCCCCTCCCCCAACCCATAGCTCCTCCCCCAACCCATACCCCCCCAACCCATAGCCCCCGTAGTCGCTGAAGGACATTTATTATTGAATGATACCGATCTTAAATATTATTTTATATTGATGAAAAATAATATTCTCTGTTTTTGTTGTTTTTATGAAAGTATTATTATTGCTGGTCATTTTTTACATTTGTTTACCTTCTGTTTTCCTTTCATCCCCATACACTGAGTGGACAAAACATTAAGAACACCTTCTTAATATTGAGTTGCACCCCCCCCCCCCCTTGTCCTCAGAACAGCCTCAATTTGTCGGGGCATGGACTCTGCAAGGTATCAAAAGCGTTCCACAGGGATGCTGGCCCATGTTGACTCCAATGCTTCCCACAGTTGTGTCAAGTTGGCTGGATGTCCTTTGGGTGGTGGACCATTATTGATACACACGGGAAACTGTTGAGCGTGAAAAACCCAGCAGCGTTGCAGTTCTTGACACAAACCGGTGCGCCTGGCACCTACTACCATACACCATTCAAAGGCACTTACATATTCATACCCCTTAACTTATTCCACATTTTGTTGTGTTACAAAATGGATTAAATATAATTTTTACACAATACCCTATAATGTCAAAGTGAAAATATGTTTTTTGAAATTTTAGCAGATTTTATCAAAATGAAATACAGAAATATTTAATTTACATAAGTATTTACACCGCCGAGTATAGAAGCACCCTTGGCAGCGATTACAGCTGTGAGTCTTTCTGGGTAAGTCTCTAAGAGCTTTCCACACCTGGATTGTGCAATATTTGCCCATTATTCTTTTCAGAATGTTTCAATCTCTGTCCAACTGGTTGATGATCAATGCTAGACAACCATTTTCAGATCTTGCCGTAGATTTTCAAGCAGATTTAAGTCAAAACTGTAACTCAGCCACTCAGGAACATTCACTGTCTTGGTAAGCAACTCCAGTGTAGATTTGGCCTTGTGTTTTAGGTTATTGTCCTGCTGAAAGGTGAATTCATCTCCCAGTGTCTGGTGGAAAGCAGACTGAACCAGGTTTTCCTCTAGGATTTGGCCTGTGCTTAGCTCCATTTAGTTTCTTTTTTATCCTGAAAAACGTCCCTGTCCTTAACGATTACAAGCATACCCATAACATGATGCAGTGGTACTCAGTAATGTGTTGTATTGGATTTGCCCCAAACATAATACTTTGTATTCAGGACGAAAAGTTAATTGCTTTGCTACATTTTTTGCAGTATTACTTTAGTGCCTTGTTGCAAACAGGATGCATGTTTTGGAATATTTGTATTCTGTACAGGCTTCCTTCTTTTCACTCTGTCAATTAGGTTAGTACTGTGGAGTAACTACAATGTTGTTGATCCATCCTCAGTTTTCTCCTGTCACAGCCATTAAACTCTGTAACTGTTTTAAAGTCAACATTGGCCTCATGGTGAAATCACTAACTTCATCATACTCAAAGGGATATTCAATGTCAGTTTTTTTTTTTTTTTTGACCCATTTTCCAATATGTGCCCTTCTTTGCGAGGCATTGGAAAACCTCCCTGGTCTTTGAGGTTGAATCTGTTTGAAATTCACTGCTCGACTGGAGGGACCTTACAGATAATTGTATGTGTGGGGTACAGAGATGAGGTATTCATTCAAAAATCATGATAGTATGGAAAATGTATGCACTCACTAACTGTAAGTCGCTCTGGATAAGAGCGTCTGCTAAATGACTAAAATGTAAACGTAAATAACTACTATTATTGAACACGGAATGAGTCCATGCAACTTATTGTGACTTGTTAAGCACATTTTTACTCCTGAACTTATTTAGGCTTGCCATAACAAAGGGGTTGAATACTTATTGACTGAAGACATTTCAGCTTTTCATTTTTAATTAATTTGTAAACATTTCTAAAAACATTGACATTATGGGGTACTGTGTGTAGGCCAGTGACACAAAATCTCAATTTAATCCATAAAAAATTCAGGCTGTAACACAACAAAATGTAGAAAAAGTCAAGGGGTATGAATACTTTCTGAAGGCAATGTAAATGTTTTGTCTTGGCCATTCACCCTCTGAATGGCACACATACACAATCCATGTCTCAATTGTCTCAAGGCTTAAAGATCCTCCTTTAACCAGTCTCCTCCCCTTCATCTACACTGATTGAAGTGGATTTAACAAGTGACATCAATAAGGGATCATAGCTTTCACCTGGATTCACCTGGTCAGTCTATGTCATGGAAAGAGCAGGTGTTCTTAATGTTTTGTACACTCAGTTTAGTACACAACTTTTGACCAGGAAAAGCAGCGCACTATAAATGGAATATTGTGCTATTTGGGATGCATGTTTGTTTTCGTTGATCTAAGATCAAGGTTGATTAGGAAGGTTATACAGGAAACCAAACCACTCTTTCACGTTTCCATAATGTTATGTTCATCCTCATTCCGTTCAGGCTACGTCCCAGATGGATATGCTCCATTTTACAGTTTAGTCATTTAGCAGACGCTCTTATCCAGAGCGACTTACAGTTAGTGAGTGCATACATTTTTCATACTGGCCCCCCGTGGGAAACGAACCCACAACCCTTGCGTTGCAAGCGCCATGCTCTACCAGCTGAGCTACACGGGGCTTTTAACCAGAGCCCTATCAGAGACACCCTATTCCCTACATAGTGCACTACTTTTAACCAGAGCCCTATCAGAGACACCCTATTCCCTACATAGTGCACTACTTTTAACCAGAGCCCTATCAGAGACACCCTATCCCTACACAGTGCACTACTTTTAACCAGAGCCCTATCAGAGACACCCTATTCCCTACATAGTGCACTACTTTTAACCAGAGCCCTATCAGGGACACCCTATTCCCTACACAGTGCATACTTTTAACCAGAGCCCTAT